GAATTCTACATGCATTTCAATGGGACAAAAAAAAAAAACGCAGAAAAAGCTGAATATCACGAAAGCTACAAAAAATATCTTTACCAAAAGCCATAGCAAAATTCTCCTGAACAAGCTGAATGTTTTGATGCTAAAATTGTTGAAATTGGTTGAAAACAGCGGGACTAGTTAGTGTCAGAAAACTAAAAAGAGCAAAACAATAAGTGGGAACGCAGAAGCATAATGTAGATCCGATTTCAATAGGTTCATGTCAATTTGCACTGGTCAATCGGCAGTCTTCAGAAATTGGATAATTGTTGAATACTGAATAGTCAAATACTATGATTTGATTGGAGGACTAAAGTTTACATTCCACTGATCCTTACCAGTGCCGGCTAAAAAATAAAACTCCACCTCCTTATTTGATTATAAAAGGAGCTTTAAATGGAAATACAGAGTTAAAAAATAAGTCACTGAATACATAAAGTAGCTTTAAAAAGTAAAAGTGTCACAAACTAATACTCCATTCTGAAATAAATAAATAAATTACACAGTTAATAAATCTTTGAATAATTAAAAAATCTCGATTCTATAATAAGATTTAAAAAAAAAAACATATCTTTTTCCATTTATCAGATTCCATGACTACCTCAGATGCTGCCCCACCCTCCAGAGACAAACCAATCAGGGATAGAGGAATGCTAATAATCTTATCTTTAATAAGATCAATCTTATTTATAAAGGATCCCATAAAATCATTTGGTGGAATGGACGGTTCAACAGAGCTATGGCTCTGGGTGAGTTTGGCAACTGGATTAAAAAGATATCTAGGATTATTCCTATTCTCCTTTATTAATGAGGAGAAGTATGCTGCTCTTGCTTTACAAAGGACCAATTTTTGTATAGCACTAGACTGTTTTTTTCCAGACTAGGTTTCCTACCATTTTATCTCAAAGTGCACAGCTCTGTATTAAACCAGGGAGCCAGCCTCTTGTTATAAAAGTTATTTTAAAAGGGGCTCTGTTGTCTAAAGCACTATGCAAAGAGCTAGTTAGCCCATCAACAAAATCATCAATTTGTGAACAGGAATAAATTAAAATTTCGCCCTCTGCCATATTAATTTGTGAGACAAGTGGAACAAAAAAAATGTATAACTGCACTATCTGATAAAGATCTACTAAAATGTAACCTTCTTTTGGGGGAGGTGAACTCTGTTAAAGTAATCCTGAAGGTTATTAGAAAGTGGTCAGAGAGGACAGGGTTATGAGCAAATACTGCTATTTCTTCAAATTCTAT